TCCATCTTCACAGCCTTGTCAAATATAGTTCCTTGCTCCACCTCAGTAGCCTCTCTTTCTTGGATTTTTTTCCTTCCTCTTAACTCTTGGCCTCTCACTCTCATTGCCTTTGCATTTTCCATCTTCCATTATGCCTTGTGCATCCTGCAGCCGTCAATGTCCTTGCACTTTCTCTAGCTGTCTCCCGCTCCCCAGATCTTTTCAAAAATGAACTGAGCTGTCTGAATCTTTTTCCTCCTCAATGTTGTGAGCAGGGAGCAAAGCTAAATAAACCAAAAAAAGTCTTCCATCCTTGTCAAATATGAGAGCTGGCGTCCTCTTACCACATGCCAAGATAGCTAGACACAGTTCAATGGCCTTCATTCAGGAGCGAGCAAGAAGAGGGGTTCTTTTCCATCAAAGGATGCTTTGTAAAAGGAGGAAGGTACACCGGAGGCATCACACGCTTGCATGGCAAATATTTTACCCTTTTCTAAGAGGCCGGTTTGTGAGGGTAGCAAAGCACAGCTGCTGTCCCACTGCTTGCGCATGAGCCTCTAAACACACAGCAGATCGGGGGTTGTTTGTATTTTCGAAACAGCCACCAACCAAGCTTTAATAGAGATAAAAGAACACCCTTGGCAATTTATACTCCTTAGATCGGTGGTTCTCAACCTTCCTAATGCTGCGACTTCTTAATATATGTCCTCATGTTGTGATGACTCCCAACTATAAAAATATTTTTGTTGCTACTTCATAACTGCAATTTTGCTACTGTTCTGAATCATAATGTAAATATCTGATATGCAGGATATATTTTCATTCACTGGACCAAATTTGGCACAAATACCCGATACACTCAAATTTGAATACTGGTGGGGTTGGGGGGGGGGTGATTTTGTCATTTGGGAGTTGTAGTTTCTGGGATTTATAGTTCACCTACAATCAAGGAGTATTCTGAACTCTACCAATGATGGAATTGAACCAAACTTGGCACACAGAACTTCCATGACCAACAGAAAATAGTGGAAGGGTTTGGTGGGCATTGACCTTGAGTTTTGGAGTTGTAGTTCACCTATATCAAGAGAGCACTGTTGTCCCAAACAGTGATGGATCTGGACCAAACTTGACACGAATACTCAATACACCCAAAGGTGAACACTGGTGGAGTTTGGGGAAAATAATCATTGACATTTGGGAGTTGTAGTTGCTGCGATTTATAGTTCACCTACTATCAAAGAGCATTCTGAACCCCACCGATGATAGAATTGGGCCAAACTTCCCATACAGAACCCCCATGACAAACAGAAAATACTGTTTTCTTGTGGTCTTTGGCAATCCCTCTAACACCCTCTCATGACCGCCCCCCCCCCCCGGGGTCCCAACCTACAGGTTGAGAAACACTGTCTTAAACACAGTCCCCTTATTGATTTCTTGAGCCTTCTTCTCTCCAAGTATACTGATTTGGAAGAGATAATCCTAGTTAATCATCTAACATTTTTTTCAGCTGCTTCAAAACATCACCCTTTTTCTTTCTCCCACTTTCTCTTGTTGTCATCGGCTTGCTTCGGTTGCTACAAACAAAAAGCATAGGGGTAAACTTGTCATATACCATTGAGATTTGAGCATCCAAGGATTTGGGGATCCATGTAGGGCCCTGAAACCAATTTCAAGCAGATATTAAAAGCCCACCATACTTATATGACGTGTTATCTTGAATGTACTCCTTTCTGAATTGCATGCAAATGGCATAATTATTATTACCAATGAATTATTTTGTGGCACTCATCAACGTGGCCACTCTAGTTCAGCCCCAAGTTCCTGCCAGGCAGTGATCATCTCCTTTTGCACAGAAACCCACTCAATTAGGAAGACCAGCAAATCAGCCTATGTTACAGTTCATCTCTCCTTACAACAGGCCTTTTGTGCCTCGCCAGCCAGGGGCCTTCCAATCTGGCCTGATTTTCCATGACATCACCATGTTCTTTTCCCTGCAGGAGCTCTAAGCAAGCAAGTGAGTGACTATGTATGTGTTTCTATCATTTATCTTAGTAAAGCAGTGAGAAAGGAATATTAATGAGAGGTAACTGAGAAGAATAGAATATCTATGCAGGACCACCTAAATTTTGTTTTGGTTTTGCTATTCTGTCTAAAGCACCCCCCTCTCTGGGTACCAAATCTGTTGAGAAGTACAGCTGTGCAGAGTCATACACCTCACTCCATCAAGAAAGGAGTCTAGCTCTTTCCTCTGGAGAAAGAAGCAACCAAAGCCCATCTGCATTTCTCTCTCTAGAGAAAGTCATTCATTTACTTTCCTGGAAAAGAGACAATGAAGGCTGTCTTGTCTGTGTTTCTGTCTGCCAAGAAAGGAAACAGATTCATTTCTTGGTGGGAAGAGGATTATTGTGAAATTTGGCACTCAGGGAAGGGGCTGCTTTTGAGGGTCTTTCCACACAGTCCCATATCGCAGAATATTAAGGCAGAAAATCCCACAATATCTGTTTTGAGTTGGATTATCTAAGTCCACACTCAGTAATGTGGGATATTCTGGGATATAGGGCTGTGTGGAAGGGCTCTGAGAGCTCAGAACAGCAGACTGCTGGCATGGTTAGGTACTGTCGGAAGCTTCGTAATTCAGAATAAATTCGGAAAAATTACCTTTTCAAAACGATTTTGAAGTTTTAAAGAAAACTGGAAGTCCCGTTGCCCTTCTGAAGCTTTTTCCGCCATTTTTGTTATGACTCATGAAGTGAGTCGGAAATGATTCAGCTTTTCCCTGCTTCTGGTCCCTGGCCTCGGCTCAAGCCAGAGAAGCCAGTTTTAAACCAGAGAAGGAAGGAATTTCCTCTGCTTACTTTTCCCTGCTTCTGGTGTAAAACAATACTTTCAAAGTAAACACCACCCAATGAAACAGGAAATAACACTTTCAACCATTAACGAAAGGATTTGGAAGTTTCGGAAGTTTCGAAAAGTTTTGGACATTTTTTTCTGTGAAAATCGAAATTGACTTTAGAATCGAACCACTACATCCGAAATGAGTTTTGAACCTTTTTTTTTATCAACCAAGCCTACAGACCACTCCATTGTTGCCTTCACCTTCTTCCACAAAGGGATCTTCCTGTATAAGAGAAACCATATAACATGAACTCTTGTAATACATAAGTCTACCTTATAACACTATGATAGTGTGATAAGGCCCAAAGAGTTCTGTAAAATATTAAAACCTACTTACTGAGATCGAAGTTTCTCCATTCAGTCCAAGACGATGATGCATGTGAAATTACTATAGATATTCCAGAATTCGTTTATTTTTATTTGACAGTAGAAGCTGACCCAATTTACACTTTGTAGGCAACCAACAATCATAACACAATTATACTTGAGATTTTTCACATCTTTGAAAGCTGCTTTAAATTTTACCAAAAGGACTCATAGAAATGGGTGCTTTGAAAATAGGTTTTAGAATGCACATGGTGAAAAACATATTAAAATATGAATTCAGACATGTCTGCAATTTCAAATGTATATGTGGTTTTTCAAAAATGTAGATTAATGCAAAAGCAGGATGGACTGAGCTTAGGAAAGACAACAGACAACACATATAATTGGAAGGGGACTGATTCTTTGGGATCAAAAAGTTAGGGAGTTTGGAGCTATGGTGATTAAATTAAAAGGGTTGCATTATGTTCTGTTCAGCTGTGATGAGCAAACATAAGAAAGCAAATCTATGCATGAAAAGCATTTCATGTGTGAAACAGGAGTTCAGCTGGTATATAAACACAGAATGAACAAAATATGGGACAGAGCTGAATCTTGTCTTACCTACATTCTACAATATTTGAACTTTTCCAAACCCACTTTCAATCATTTCCACACTGATTTATGAATGTGTGTGTTTAAAAAGCCTAAAAAAATACATATGCCATTGAAAATACACACTTGCAATTTCTCTGAATTCTGCAAGCAGCTCTTTATACATAGTTATTCCTAATTTGGAGAAGTGCAAAATTCAAAAGTTAATTACATTTTTATCAATTTGGGAATTTAACAACAATAAGATTTTATCCCTATTTCATGTATGTTTATGTTGCAACTATATGCAGTTTGTTAAATTTTAAGAGATGACATGAGAACATTTCTTGAAAGCCATGATGGAAGTAGACATTATAGGCAAATACTTTGGAGTATTGTTAGGATGCAGAGGATGACGTTTCTGACTATTTGTTCAAAACTTCAACCAGAGAAGGTCCGTTAACAGCAAAACTGATGGCTATTTTACCTACAGACAAGTAAACAGCACCTCTGAAGATAATAAGGAGCCCTTAGTAGCACAATGGGAAAGGACAGTGCTGGAAAGGACTGCTGACCAAAATGTCGGCGGTTCGAATCCAGGGAGTGCAGTGAGCTCCCATCTGTCAGCTCCAGCTTCTTGTACGGTGACATGAGGGAATTATCGCACAGGATGGCAAAACATCCGAGCATCCCCTGGGCAACGTCCTTGCAGACGGCCAATTATCTCACACCAGAAGCAACTTGCAGTTTCTCAAGTTGCTCCTGGAATGAAAAAAAGCGAAGATTAATATAGGGTTGGAGAAAGTGTGGGTAATGGAGAACATAGCCGGTTTAACTCTTCTTTGTGGAGACAAAAAGTGAAGTGATGATGATGATAATAAAAACATGTGGCCTACAACTCAATATTTGCAGCCTCCCAACTCTGTTGACATCCAGAGTCCATTTTTTAAGAGCAGCATTTGCCCCAATACTTCCAAACCCAGCCACAGTGACATGAACAGAGCCATTTTCCTTTTTGCACATTCAATCCCCTATTATTATTATTATTATATTATTATTATTATTATTCTGACAAAAAAACACAGTCTGCCATAGCAAACGAGATATATATGCTTGATTTCATATCACAAAATCACAAGTCAAACACTTCTCAAACGTCTAGAGCTGTGTGATGTATTTTCGAATGATGCGTGCATTTTCAAGTAAGGTGGCCTTTTGCAGTTGACAGATCGTGATTTTGTCAATTTTTATTGTTTCCAAATGCTGGCTGAGATCTTTTGCCACAGCACCCAGTGTGCTGCTATTATTATTATTATTATTATTATTATTATTATTATTATTATTATATAATTTTATTACATACAAAAGACAAATAAATACAGATACTACAATTGCAGCATCCTAACAAACCTTTTCCCTCCTTCCCCACACTGGTGAACGCACCACCAAAATCCACCATCACAGGCTTTGTATAAGCATCTCAGTATTGAGAAATGATGGCTTTGTCAGGAAAAGCTTCCTGAAATCAAACTGGATAGGATCTGTTGAAAAAAGAGAAAATATTTTTGAAAATATTTTTGAAAAGTTTTTTGAAAGCAAAAAAGAGTTCTGCAGGATCAATATGATCTTGTAAAGACAGTGAGGCCAAATAGTCATCTGTTGGGGGTGATTTGAATGTGATTTTCCTGCTTCTTGGCAGGTAGTTGGACTGGATGGCCCACAAGGTCTCTTCCAACTCTATGATTTATGATTCTATGCACAAAAGGTAGACTTTTTAAGGGGGGGGGGGGGTCGTATGAAGATATCTGTAATATTTTCATTGTTTTTCCACCATCTTGAGCCCACATGGAAAAGACTGTGGTAATCCTTGAGATTTGTTTCCATCTTTTTAAAGAGAATGAAAAGACAAACACATCACACCATTTTCCTCCATCTTTGTTGGGGTTTTTTGGGGGGTTTTGCATTTTTTTTCATAAAACTCCAAAAGTGAAAATGCACAGAAAAATATGTAGAATGTTTCAAAATTAACCTACAGGGATTTTTTAAAAAATCACTCACACGTAAGAACAGCCAGTTTCTGTACAGCAGCAACTGCGTGCTAAGAGAGGATGCTGACTTAGTATTTTAGGCATTACAGATTCATACTATTTTAGAGTACTGTGCGGATTTGATATCATATGTTGTGCTACTTTATTCTGCATCTCATATGATAGAGAGGAATATAAATAAAGTTTAGGATTAAAATGGCCTACAATGTTCTCTTCCATACCTACCATTCTAGGGCTGTCCAGGTTTGTTCACTGCTGAGCCAAGATGAGAGGCACCTGGGCACTGTCATAGCGGCTGCTTTGCATGGGGTTGGTCCTCTCGCCTGTGCGGACGTTGAACATGGGCAAAGTGGAGAGGGGCCGGGGAACATCTCTGCTGCCTGCCATTTGCCTCAGTTCCTCTGTGTTATCATGAATCGTGTGATGATGCACCATCTGAATGCTGAAGGGGGGAAAAAAGTTGTTGAGAGATAGAGAAATAAAACATGAGTTTCCCTGAGCTTCCTTAAAGGCATCTCATACACAAAAATTGGCATTTGCAAACTTTAAGCAATTTGGCAGATGACCACACTATCTTTCTCATTGAGCTCTAGTTCATGAAATCCTATATGAAAATCAGTGCTCGGAGAACACAAAGATTTCAGATTGATGTGTATTTTAGAGACCATAATACCACTCTTGTGAAAAGTGTAAGAGCTTCCACTTTCCTTCTGAGATCAATTCAAGTTTCTTATGTTGACCTACAGAACCATAAATGATGTTGAACTGGAAGAAGACTACCATCTCTAATATAATTGTGCCAAAATGTGAGATTTCTAAAGAAGCCCAATACTGTGTGCCCCAAGAGCACATGAAATTAGTTCTCTACCTCTTTCTCATGAAGTAGCAATCCCTTAATAATAGCACTTCCAACCTAAGGAAATCTGGCTGGTCCCATCTCTTATAAGCTTCCAGTAGGTGGCCAAAACAGTGCTGTTCCACATGGCCTTGAATGTCTGAAATTGTTGGGTTGTAGGTTTTTTCGGGTTGTCCCATCCTGATCATTCCACAGATATATAAACCCCTTTTTTCCTGGTTCCAACAAACCTCACTACCTCTGAGAATGCTTGCCATAGATGCAGGTGAAACGTCAGGAGAGAATGCCTCTAGAACATGGCCATATAGCCTGAAAAAAATTACAACAACCCAGTGATTCTGGCCATGACAATACTCTGAAATTGTTGTTTTAACTGTTCCAATATTGGGTTTGAGAAGTTATTCAATGCATTTTATGATTAAATATTTGTATTATTTTAATTGTTTTTATTTGTTTGTCACCTAATGAGTCCTTGTGGACTGGGAAGTGATACAGAAATACTTAAAATAAAACAAAATAATTGCTCCCTACCCAGCCACACTCCATTTCAGTCATTGTGATACATATTATACATGATTGGGGGGTTTTGTGTAGTAAATGCTCCCATTTATTAGTTGAATGACTTTGAAAATATCTGGAGGAGAGGAAACATCCCAACCAAATCCAGAAAATGGGTGAGCAGGGATAGCAGTAAAACCTTGGAGATAAGTTTCCATGACATCACAAAGCATCAAGCTCACATCACAGAACACTCAACTCTGTGCCCACGACAACCAACTAAACTAAAATACACAAAATATCTCTAACAGACATATTTCATTTGCCTTGCAGCAGAGTACCATCAACTTGTGATCTTCCACGCTCCCAGACGTCAATTTCTAAATATTGTTGGGAGAGGTTCAAAAGTGGGAGTAGGCGAGGAACACTCAAGCGAAAGCAGCGGTTCATTCAAGGCTAGAAGTGGGGTGCTGAATGAATAAACAAGGAAAGCTGTGAAGGTGAGAAGATCTCGAGAGCCACAAAATAATCTTCACAAACATTCAGAGCTGTGGATAATACAGACTGACAGGAGATAACCAAGGAGCATCTCCTGTGTTGATTTTCTTATCTGCAAAGGAAGGAAGAGGGGAGAGATACCCCAAACACGTTCCTTTCCAAATAGATTACAGGGGCAGATCCAAACTGCCAGAAATAATTTACATCCAGGAGCTAAACTGAAGGCTTTATCCATCTGAACCCCATCATGGAGTCAAACCAATTTGCAGAGGTTCCATTGGTAGGTACATCTGACCCAAACTCAACCGATGAGCCCTCATCTGTAGCATCAGAAGATAATGAACCACCTGATATTTCCCAGAACATCCAATCAGAAGGTTCTTTGGAGGACCCTGCCACGCAGGATCCTCAGCTAGAGGGAGGTAGACAACATTCCAAGTCAAGGAAGGCCACAGATTCTCAACAGCTTAAGCAATCAAAAGCCGTACCCAAGATACCAACCACCAACCCTTCCTTGCTGATCTTCACAGCCGTGGCCACCTGCCAGAGAAAGAATGGCCTTTCCATGCAAAATCTGAGGAAAATTGTGACCAACATGGGCTATGACATGAACAATAAGAAACAATATTTCTTGAGGTCCATCAAAACAATGGTGGCCAAAGGACTGCTCTTGCAAGTGAAAGGGAATGGAGCCATGGGCTCCTTCAAGATCAACCCTAACATGGAGAAGAAAAGACAGCAGACAAAGGTGAAAGCAAAAGGTCAGAAAGCAAAGGAGGCGACTAAGAAAAAAAATGTTCCTGCCAAGGCTAGAAATGGCAAGAACAATGCCAAGAAGCAAGGGAAAGTGGATTCCTCCAAGAGAGTGACCAAAAGAAGCAAAATCCAACCTCTTCAAGCTGGTCAAAGCCAGGTCAAAGTGTAAAGGATGTCTAACTTGTCCTCCAGAGTGACTTCTGCATCCTGACACAAATAAAGCGAACCCTGTATTTCAAATTCATCAGTGTCTGTATTTTTTTTTAATGAAAACAAGACAGCGCAATGTGGAATGCCGGGTGTAGTACTAAAAGTTGAGCTAAAAGTATTCATTTTGTGAGTGTGCATAAGAGAAAGAGTATGTGGAGGTAGTATTTGCACAATAAAGGGGTGAAATGCACTAGAAAAATAAGAATTAAGAAATAAGAATATAAATGCAAGAAATCGTGCAAAATGCACAGATAAGATCTCAATTTTAGACAGAGGAAGTACAAGACCGAGATTGTGGTGCAACTGGCTGAGTGTCAGCTGCATTAAGATCACTCTGACCAAAAGGTCATGAGTTCGAAGCCAGCCCGGGCTGGAGTGGGTGTCCAGCCATTGTGTAGCCTGTTGTCAACCTTTGCAATCCGAAAGACAGTTGCATCTGTCAAGTAGGAAAATAAGGTACCACCTTGTGTGGGAGGCTAAATTAACTAATTTATGAGGCCATAAAGAAAACTCCGGGATGTGGAATGCGGAAGAACTTCATTGGTGTCGCTGATGGACGATGAAAGCAGCAGCTCTCCTGGCGGTCAGAAAAAAAAGTTAAATAGCCTCTGTGTATTGTCTGTATTCGTTGTCTGTCAAACTGGCATTGAATGTTTGCCATATATGTGTATACTGTAATCCGCCTGAGTCTCCTGCGGGGTGAGAAGGGCGGAATATAAAAACTGTAAATAAATAAGACAAGCATAAAACCATCTAAAATAAAATGTCAGAAAAGGGAGAGAAAAATGTTTTGCCTAATTGAATTGAAACTAGGAAAAAATACTTATATTTTTAATGACAAGTCTCTATCCATTTACCAAGAAGCCATCAGATAACCATCAGATAACAGAAATACAGGAGTCTTTCTACTATCTTAACTCAGTCTTCTCCATCGTATTTTCTACAGATATTGAACTACGTTTCCCCCAGCCCTAGCTAACGTCATCACAATGAGATGGATTCTTTGAGCTGAAGATCAAAATATCAAAAGGATCTAGGGTGAGGAAGGAGCAGGCTTAAGCCTGATGATTAAAGATTTTATGTCTGAAATCAGATGTTTTATATAATAAGCCTTTCAAACTAGGAACAAAGCCTGTTCCTAGTCCTGGTGACTAGCAATAGTTCCCAATTCTTTATCTATAGCAGGGGTCCTCGAACTTTTTAAGCAGAGGGCCAGGTCACCGTCCCTCCTCAAACTGTTGGAGGGCTGGATTATAATTTGAAAAAAAAAAGATGAATGAATTCCTATGCACACTGCACATATTTGTAGTGCAAAAACACTTTAAAGCAATGCAATAATTAAAATGGACAATTATAACAAATATAAACTTAATAGTATTTCAATGGGAAGTGTGGACCTGCTTTTGGCTGATGAGATAGGATTGTTGTTGTTGTGTGCTTTCAAGTCGTTTCAGACTTAGGTTGACCCTGAGCAAGGGCCGGGTAAATGACATTGGAGGGCCGTATCTGGACCTTGGGCCTTAGTTTGAGGACCCCTGATCTACTTCTTCCTTTATACAACCCACAAGAATGGTCAGATCCAGACAAGACATCTGAAATTAAAGATATTGCACACAAAGCATTAAAACTAGATTTAGACCAATTTTATTGGGCTGGCTAAGGCAAACCACCTCACTCATATCCTCCTCACAATAGCCTCCCCAGCTTTCTAATCATTCTGAGTCCCTGCAGGGAGACAGGGCAGGATATAAAGTATTATTATTACTATTACTATTATTATTTTACTGACACAAAAGCACAGTATGTAGCAAACAAGGCAAACCAGGTATATATGCTGGATTTTGTATCACAAAAACACAAGTTGAACACTTCCCAAGCATCTAGGACTGTGTGAAATATTTTCGAATGATGTGCACATATCCAGGTAAGGTGGCATTTTGCAGTTGACAGATCGTGATTTTGTCAATGTTTATTGTTTCCAAATACCGGCTGAGATCTTTTGGCACAGCACCCAGTGTGCCCAAGACCACTGGGACCATCTGTACTGGTGTATGCCAGAGCCTTTGCAGTTCGATTTTGAGGTCTTGATAACACCTGAGTATTTTCTGTTGTTTTTCTTCAATGTGACTGTCACCCAGTATGGCGACATCAATAATCTTTTCCACAGTTGTGATGTCTGGTGTATTGTGTTCCAGAACTTTGTCAGTCTGGATTCAAAAGTCTCACAGTATTTTTGTGTGTTCATTTTCCACTACCTTTGCAGGATTATTATTATTATTATTATTATTATTATTATTATTATTATTATTACATTGGATGGGAGATCCTACTGAATGAAGTGAGCTATGATATTAAGCAATCCACAACATTTGGACAGATGTGTCTTATGTCAAAAGTAACCTTCCACCACCCAAATGGCAAATGCTGACTCTAGCACAGCTTGGACAGAGTTTTGTTTTAACTATATATCCTCAAGAATCCACCAGCCAGCATTCCTACTGGCCATGGTGCTGAGTGAATTTCAATGGTTGTAGTAAAAAAATAATAATAACTCTTCTAAACTCTGGATGCAACTCATCACTTTCTGCATTAGTGGTTCTCAACCTGTGGGTCCCCACGTGTTT